AAAATTATACAAAATTAATTATTATAGTAATAGAAGAACACTTAAATAGTAAAAAATTTTAAAATAAATTTTCATTCTTATTCTAATTCAGTGTAGAGCTGTTCAGTATAGTACTTTAGAATGTTCTCTTCCCAAATAAACAACAACATTTCCATCCAAAGTAGAATTTAAACCTGCAATTTCACATGAAGTGAGAACAATGCTTCAACAAGCTGATATATGAGTGGACACTTCATCTTTTTTTATTTTACTACTATTATATTATAATAATTTCAAAACAAAATCATTGTATCTTTAAAAATTTAACATTTATAGAATTATAGTTAAAATCTTTTAAATGACATTTAGTTGCTTCATTACAAAATTCATGTCCCTTCATCATTCCTTCATCAGACAGATCAACAAATAATGCTTCTCTACAATTTTCTTTTTCTTTATATTTCTTCTGACTTTCCTTATTTTTAATTATTTTTACTCTTTTCAGCTTATGAGTACTGAGATGGTCATTTCTCTATATCCATCACAGGTTTGGCCAGACTGACAATGGCAGTGACAAGGCCCAATGTATCCAGGACAAATTGCCTGTGAAAAATTCTAGGGTTTTTTGACCATCCAGATTTCATATTGGGTTCCAGATTGGTAGGAATAATACCTTAACTATCTCAGTCATCTGGATGTCTATTGACTTTCCACTTTCAACCAATTCTCTACCCAACTTTTGGTAAAATTAACAATTGTTAATACTGTAATAAAGGAATTTATTCATAAAAATATGTAAGAAAACCCATTAAATTTCTATTAATTTGCCATCCTTAGTACTTACAATTCTATTAACTTCTACATAAAAACATATTTGCAATTTCATTACAACTGCTCATAAGACAAACAGACACTAGTAATAAAAAAATTCCCTAATTAATCTAAAAAATGTTTCTAGTGATCCTCCAAACTTCAATTATAAATGCTTAACATCAATTCAAAATGAACTAAAGTTGCAATATATAATCAAAAATTGGAGAACATTTTGTTTTTGGAATTTCTAGAACCTATTCATCTGACTTATTAATTCTAATTTGTAATTTTTTATTGTATAATTTATATACTGTATTAATTTTAATTTACTGTATGATTAATTATATATAAATAAAAATTAGAAACATTTTAAACATTAATATCACAATAAAATGTGAGAAAGATAATTATTGAAACAGTTACAATGTTTTTCTACTGCAACATTTGTTTTGCATGTGAACAAACATCAGGTTGACATATATAGGCAATCAATTTAACTGACATATCTACTTTTTTATAGGAGATAATAATTTAAAGATAAATATAGTTAAGATGCAAACATAATTTTCTTTTTCTTTTTATTTAATTAAAATAATTTAGTAATTCAAACTTGTAAATGATATATGTATATAAATTTTGATTATTCAGATAAAGACAAGATAAAATAAATCATTCTTCAAATAGTTCTGGTTAGAAATCATTACATTTTGATTTTAAAACTTAAAAAATATCTATCTTTAAGATAAATTATAAATTTGAATTGCAAAGATGCAAACAGCTTTATTACATAATTTATGTAGCTGTATTTTAATGCACTTCATCAAATACTTCAAATTTAAATAACCTGATATATAGATATTCAAATGAGATTTTATATTATTTTAAAAACTAATTTACTTTCGACATACTGATTCAAACATATCTCACTCAAACACATTTGTATGTAAACAGGTGAAACAAAAATCACACTATGAAAAGCTTCTTAGTTACAGAAGATAAGCAGTGTTATCAATCATTTTTTTGTTTTTAGATAGAAACAAAGTTATATACTTAAATTAAAAGAGAAGATTTAAAATTTTTAATAAATAATAGTTACGAAAACTTTATATAAATCCAAATATGGTCAACAACTTAAAAGCAATCCATATATCTTTTTAAAGACAGTGTGTATGATACCTATGACATATATTTAGCACAGCTCCCAGATACAGGGTGAATAGGTCAGTCAACTCACTTAAAAAGGCTGTGTTTAAAGTTCTAAGAGGTGTTTAGGCCAGTCCACCTACACCCTATCAAGAGACACAAATTTTTTTGTATAATTTGATACATTAGCGACAAACAATATATATCACATAACTTAGAAAAGTAAATTAAGTCAAATTTTTTCATAAAAAATATTAATATGAAGCCTGAAATGTATTTTAAAACAGATCATATACAAAGTATGACGTTTGAAATTATCCTTCACACACCATTTGATTGCTTCATCTGCAATATAACTGAGTAATTGAAAACATCAGTTAGCTATATATACATTCTAGTAATTCATAAATTCTCAATCTTTTCTTCATTGACTCTTCCAACTTTGTTTACAATATAGTACATTATCTATTGAATATTTTTATATCTCATTTATGAAATATTATAAATTGTTTGCTACTGAATGAATATATCAACAAAGGAATAATATCCTAATTAAACAATATTTGGTGTAATCAAATTTAGTGAAGCATAATTCCTGGCAAAAACAACTTAATATTTTTTGACTACACGATACAAACTATAATCTAATTTTATTTTATGATAATTATAAGAATTAACTTAAATAAGTATGCAAAACAATTAATTATTATAAAAATGCAACAAAATGTGATAAATATAATTCTGTATTTTAGTCAACTAAGGATGCATTCTGAATTACTCTGACAGCATCTCAAATCTTCAAAATTCTTTATAATGACCCCTTTATCATGTCTGTTAGAAACAGACATGCTTGTAAAATCATTTGAGTAAAAGAGACAGGAAATAAGTAAACTATTAACATGACAAATCCATAATCAAATGCAACAAACCTAAACAAAACTCAAACTTGACAATAAAATCTTTACTTCTTAAGTAAAAATTTATTGCCAAAAGTATTGTTTTATAGAAACTGTCACTCATTTAATCCATATAAAATATTCTAGTTTTAAGTAAGTAATTCTAGTTTTATTTGAAAAAATAATTTTTAAAAACATTTATTTGTATAGCATATCACACTAATATAGACAATTGCATAATTTCCTTTAAAAAAAATATTTAAACTTTTTCTGTAATACGCAAAATCCAAAGGAATAGGATGTATGATATAGGATATGATAATATATCTGTATTTATCATTTCTCTTATCAACCAATCATCAATATTTTATAAGAAATAATTAAACAAATTTTAAACATTTTATTTATAAAAGAGAAAAAAAATCAATTTTTTAAAAATATTGATAAATTTCTATTACTCATCAGTTAAAAATAATATTAAAAACAATGTATCATACAAAAAAATGATAAAAGTTATAATTTAAGGAGGTTTAATGAATTAAAAAATATTCTAATCTATAAGTTTCACTTTAATTTTATTATCAATACAATAAAAAATGATGATTTATTAACTGTTAAAGTTTATGTTTTGATAAATAATTTGCAGCACTGTTTATTTAGCCATTCTAGTACTAACTTTAGTATGAATAATAATAATAATAATAATAATAATTAAAAATTTTGCTGCATTTACGGACTGGGTCGTTTACATGTTCTGTTTGATAATAAACATAATCTCAGTAGCATACTAGCATACTTTAATGCAAGCACTACATTACACAACATAAACTACGCAATTATTGTTATACATCACATCTAGCATTTATGTTTAAAAGTTTATTGGATAAACTATCAAAATACACAGGATGTTAATCATACAATTTATAAATATTTAAATGTCACAAAAAAAATCTGTAATGCTTATAAATAATCAGTTATAACATTTGATATGATGTAGCATTCTAAACAATGAAGGGTGTGTATCTTTAATCAATACTCTTCTAAAATAAGCTTTTTTTCTTATTTCTAAAGGCATCACTTATCTAATTTTGATACCTTTTTATATCCTTAACAAGATAACCAATTTTTTGTATGTATATTGTTAAAGTCTGTAAATCTAACCTTGTTTTCTTCTTATAAAACATAAATATATAAACTGCTATTGGATTCAGATCTATGTTCTTGAAAATACATATTTAAACATGAGAATATTAAAAGAATTTCTCATCTATCAATAATAAGTTTCATCTAAAAAGTAAAAAAAAAAAAATAAAGAAAACAGTGTTGGCAACAAGAGTGGCAATCCCAAAAGAGGAACACACCCACAATATAGAAAAGAATTAACCTTATCAAAATTTAGATATGAAGAGTAATAGTAAGTAATTTGCTTTAATTTTTCTTCCATCTTACATGCTAATTACATATAATTTTTATTCATTCGACCACAATTCCTAAATTGAGCGAATCCGTAACAGTTTTCATCACCTATCCGCGTCAATATAATTCAGGATCTCAGTAGTAACATTAATTTCTAAACCTCAATAAGAACTGTAGTATTTATATAATGTAGAGAAATTTCATCAATTTGATTTAATAATAAAATACAACTATTTCAGCAAATAAACATCCACAATATTTATATAAATAGGAGGATTATTGTAAGATAATTAAGTTAGTAGGAAGCTATATATCGACTTTCTACGATCAATTATATACATATCTAATTATAAGTAAATAAAAAAACATTATGCAAATCACGATCGAGTGGGAGAACAAAGCCATTTTTTGAATTACGGGATTAATCAATAATTAATTTAAAAACGTATGAATGAAGCCGATAGCGTGCATATTTACGGGAGTGTCAGGAAATTAACGGATGATATTAACGAAACTAAAGAAAATTCAGTCTTAAGAACGGAAGTCGAAGAACATTTGCCAAATGTTAAGAGATCGTAAGCTGATTTTTGACAACCGTTGGCTTACCTGTCCGCTGTTGGCAGCCGGAGAATTTTCTACCACGTCATAGACAACCGGAGGAAAATCGGAACCGGAACCACCAAAAACCGAAAATCCAAAACCGAAAGAGTCACTCCTCTTCAACTGAACACACCTCACTTCCTCGGCCATCTTTCGCCTCCCAAACTCTACTCTCAACAACGACGTCTATCGGTTAACCGCAGCCATCTCGGTAGCGATTGGTTACGTCCCGTCACGTGATGTACACAAAGCACGTGTACTAACTCAACACCATCTGACGGTTAATAATCGAACGCTCAACGTGTCTAGCCGTAAACTTTTATTTTTATTTTTTTTTCTCGCTAAAAATGAACTCGATTATTTTTTTATTCAAACGCTTTGTTTCTTACTCGTAGTTTCTTAAAGATCTCTAAGGAGCTTATAAATTAAAATTTTATTATTATTATTATTATTTTTTAAATAAAAGATGGCCGGACTCACCTCGTGGAGTTGTGTATGTAAATGAACGAACTAGGCGAGTTAATGCCGATTTTTCCTGTTTTCTCTTTACGTTCGTTGACCTAATGGCGATCTACTGACCTATATAAGAGTTAATAGTTGTATATTTTACTATCACTCGACAGCGGTTCGACCGGTAAATGTTAGTTACTCGCGTAAATGCCGTTCTGTAAGAATTCTTAGTTATGAGTCTAAGATATTTGCAGAGAATTCTTTGCAATTTTTGCTCTAGGACGAATTCTAAAACCCTTCACGCTTGCTCGATGAAACGTGGAAACGATTCTTATCACCAAAAATGCTTTATATCTACTACAGATTCAAGGTAAGAACACTTTTCTTAACTAGAAGCGTGCAAAATGCTTTCTGATGAGTGACTAAACATGCATTTGTTTAGTGTAAAAAAACACTATCATTCATAAGTTCTGGATGTATAATTTGTAAATAAAGCTATGTAAAAAAATCTTTATTTTATTAAGTGAAAAATAGCCTAATTACAAACTTTTTACAGCTCTTAAAATGTAGAATTTTTATATTGTGAAGATTGAGAAGCTTGTTTTTAGCTGTAAAAAGTATAGTACAAAAGTACATAACTATATTTGAAATATCATTGAATATAATTCTATTAAACATTCCTATATTTTTACTGATTTTAATCATTAATTATTATTAAAAAGTCCAAATTATTTTGACATATGTCGGTCATCACAAATTTGAATGATTAACTATTCTACGTAGAAACTTATACCAAGATTATAGTCAATATAGAAATTTCAAGATGAGAGAAAATTATATTATTATGAATATATAAAGAAGAAAAAATGAAGCTGGAAAACATTCTCATTTTCTTATACGTTGTTTTGATTGATTGATTGATCAATTAATCAAATCATCTTCGTCTAAAAACGTTTTAAATATATCAACTTTTATTTGTGTTCTATTAATTTTTAATGAAAAAACAAATAACTCATTTTGTAACTGAAATTTTGTTTTTATCTTCTACAAAAAATGGTGATAATGACATCGTGTTATATACTTAAATTAACAAACCAACCATTAGTTAAGGAGTCGGATCTTAAAAACAAGTTGGCTTCTTAAGCAATATGAATTAATACAGTAAATTTGAGTAAATGAAAACTTGATACTATACTTATGTGATATTGTCAATAAAATATATACCATATGAGAAGTCATGAGGATACAGTACACACTAAAGAAAACTAAAATAATTTGCATGTGTGTGTGTGTATATATATACACTACTGTATATAATAGTGTATATATACACATTATTGTTATGTAATACTTTAAAACATTTTTTTTTTAAGACAAACTAGTTCCTGGTATTTCTGGTTGTATTTTTTTAAATAATTTTGATTATATTTAGTTTCTAAAAGAAGCCATATGGTTTTAGATATTTTTGTTTTGAAATTTTTTTGTATGATTAAATGTGACATTTTAAAATGTTAATATTAGAAGACGAATTAAAGGAAATTAATAAATGTTTTTTTAATATATTTATTTGCATGTTCATATTATTTTGTAGTAATTATTTTTGATTTGTGTAATATATTTTAAAATCTTTAAAGAAGTTAACATTTAAAAAAAATTTGTTTTAATAAAAATTAAAATTTTGCTGGAAATGTTAGTTAATCAATTTTTAATCTAATCAAATTTGATGTAGTTTTATAAAATTTAATTTTTCAACGTATATTATTGATTTTTTTTTGTTTTTTTATCATTTTTTTTTAGCTACTCTGAATTCAGTTGTTGATAATTTTTACTTTATAATTTTATTTCATAAAAAAATTTTTATAATTTTTTCGTAAAGAAGCCTGTAATTATATTTTATTTTTTTAAATTAAAAAGATATTAAAAATCTATAAATTTTACAAGATAGTATCCAAAAGTTCTGGAACTGGGTCTGTGTGGAAATATACATGTATACCAGGCTCATGGTGATTATTGGTTTTGTTACGACATAGAGCAACTTTCCTGCAAAGGGGTTTGCCAGTGATCATTTGTGGTACGTACATACAGGTATTGTGAGCATGGGGTGGAGTACACTTGACAATTAGTGAAAATTGTGTTGCTCGATGAATGCCATTAAGTCTTGTGTTTATTTGGGCAAAGGTTCAATGTTAACCTACATGGTGAGCAGGTTTATGGCAGTAACACACTATCACAATGAGTATTCAAATGACATTGACAGTTGAAGGAGGACAGGGAGGAGATTGAAGATAATCAATGTAGTGGGTAACCAGTGGCAGCTCACACTGATAAAAATGTTTCAAAGATTGCTGCGATCATACCACCTGTTTCCTGCACTGGTGTATTGAGTCAAGGTCGTTAGTTTTCCAGCATGGAAGAAATGAAGAAAGTAATACTGATTGAAATGAAGGATATAGCAAAGAAAGAGTTCCAGAAGTTCTTCCACAATCTCTGTACTCACTGGCAGAAATATTGTTTTGAGAAGGGACTTACTTTGAAGGAGGATATACTTCAGCATTATAACTAACAATTTCTGGATGTATGAACTCAGTCCTGAACTTTTGGATGTTACCTCATAAACTCTTGATCATTCAGTTTTTAGGATAATCGGGAATCTCGAGCAACACTTGAATAGTGTTCACTTGAGATCCCAGAGTTTAAAGAAGCCTCAGACAAAAATAATTGTTTTCCATCTGTACATATAAACTGCTATCAAAATTTGTTGATGTTTAGGATCTCTAGATGTATGTAACATTGTGTGAAATTTTTTGTTATTAAATATTATTTATGTTGTTTTTGCTGTGTCAAGTTGTCAAAACAATTAAAGACAAAATCTGTACATGACTCTTTTTAATTTATTTGATTTTCATTATTTCTGAAGGTCAAAATTTTAATCAGAATCTGAGTAAATTTTGAAAGAGGATAACACTGGTTTTTAATAGACCAAAAAAAGACTATTATTATATATCAATGTCTTTTCACTTCTAATTAAATTGTCAGTAAAGATAACATTATCAATGCCAATATCAACCTACTTGAAACATCTACTTATGACATTTTGACATTATTGGATGATATTGTAAACAGAGAAGTTTTTGATTTATTTTGTAGTTCACCTGAATATAATGTAATCTTAGAATTGGGCTTGAAAGTATTAAACTAAATCTAACACATGTAGAACTGTCTAATTTTCTATATTTTTATTGTTTAACTAGCTGTTACCCGCGACTTTGCCCGTGGAGGTTTTGCAAGCAAACCCCATTTATATTCAGTATTTCAACAACCATAGTAATTGTTATATAACACCTACCGTCGAGAATGATGAGAATTGCTGAGAATCAAACAAACTATTTTCAATTTGATCAATTTTCTGGAACGTTTACATCATTCTATAATCCAACCAATATGCAATAACAAATTCGAATTTAAAACAGTTCGAGCATTTGGTTAAAAAATTGAAATATATAAAAATATTTATAACAATGTCTGAAAGATTATTAATTTAATACACTTAAGTACTTAATGAAGACTAAACGTAACAAAAAATTGCATGTAAAATAGTACAGTAGAAGCCGTTCTTCCGGTTAAGCCTTAATGCTCTCCCTCTCCCCCTGGGGGGAATTTCGAAAAATCCCTTCTTAGTGTGCATTGCCATGGCATACCCTACTAAAACACAGATAAAAACAAAAAATCGCATGTAAAATAGTACAGTTGAAGCCATTCTTCCAGTTAAGCCTTAATGCTCTCCCTCTCCCCCTGGGGGGAATTTCGAAAAATCCCTTCTTAGTGTGCGTTTCCTTGACGTACCCTAACTGTGTACCAAATTTCACCTCTTTAGGTTAAGCAGTTTGCTCTGGGCGATGATGAATCAGTCAGTGACTCAGTCAGGACAAGTAATTTTATATATATAGATGATTTGACATGTTACAGCTAATAAATAAGCTTAATTACTATATTTGGAACAAGAAATACAACTTAGAGCTGATTATTTCTCATTTCTATGTTATACTTCATAATAATGGATGAGAAGTATAGTGAAAATGGTTACAAAGCACCTACTGAGGTGTTCAGATTGTAAGATCAAGGTTTCAAGAAAGAGCATGAGATTTAATTTAAAAGTCATAGATAGTCAAGGTTTATAATGAACTTTTTTGGAATATCTTAAAAATTTTGCAACAGCAAAAGATAGGTATATGAAATCCTCATTAATTCAAACTTGGATAGTTTCAAAATCCCATTAGTATTTGTCCTGGTCAGGAATATAGAGATTTACATGTTAAAGAATTTGGTTAGTTTGAAATATAACTACTTTGGACAGAATTTTCATTTCAAATTTCAAATTGTCATGCATATGCTAACTTGTTCATTTAGATTGAAGTGGCCTCCATACTATAAGAGAACAATAAATCAAGAACAACTCTAATCTGGTCAACATGGCTTTGCTTTTACAGTAGCGCATTTTCAGGTGTCACCTTACCCATAAAATACCCTTTTCTCTCCTGTCATAAAATATGGCTGGATTTCAGGATTGCAAGATTGGGCTACAAGTAGCAGATTAAGATACTTGTAGGACTCTCGGCTAACTAGATTTGGGTAACTTAATACTTTTTGGACTACTTTTAAAAATGATTTGGCTACATTTTGAGGAATTCTGCTTTACTTTTATAAAAGCTTTTTGTTGATCTGTGAGGTTCTCACCAGATACTTGCTACTTTACCTACAGTTTAATAATTACTAATATAAATAATGAATAGTATTCTGTATACATAGCCATATTCTGTTTGCTTAATAAATTATATCAATATATAGTTGGTTTTCTGTATGTTATATTAACAATGTAAATTCGTCTCTGTAATCCAAAACACACGCTTTGGTAGACGTATCTCACAGCAATTTCTGGTTAGCAAATTTAACTTTTATTTTCCATTGAACTACAAATATATTTCGGGTTGGTATAATATACTCCAACCCCTCTTCAGTGCTAGTTCAAATAAACAAAAAATGTTAAAACATGACTATGTTATATTACATTAAATGAAACAAACCAAAAAACACTAAAAACACTTACATTTTTTCAAGTACACAACAAAAATTGTTTCTTATTTTGCTTTTTCACAAACTAGGAGGTAGGAGGGTAGACCGTTTACAAACATCAATTTATGTTTTAACTTAAATACTATGCATACCATATTAATATGTAAAATACAAAATAAAGATTGCTATAGTTTAACTCGAAGGAAAAATTGATACTAAGGACGGATGAAACGTCTGTTCCCCAGATGTCCAGTCTGCAAGGTGGGGACTTTTCACTCCTCTATCCCCTGACCAAGTGAT